TTTTTGTATTTTTAGCAGAGACAGGGTTTCACCGTGTTAGGCAGGATGGTCTCGATCTCCTGACCTCGTGATCCACCTGCCTTGGCCTCCCAAAGTGCTGGGATTACAAGCATGAGCCACCGCACCCGGCCCGAGCACATGTATTTTGATACATGCATACAATGTGTCATGATCAATCCAAGTATTTAGGATATCCATCACTTCAAACATTTATCATTTCTTTGTGTTGGGTACATTTCAGATCTTCTCTTCTAGCTATTTTGAAATATACAATAAATGATTGTTAACTATAATCGCCCTACTGTGCTATAAGAACTAGATCTTATTCCTTCTATCTCACTGTATTTGTGTAGCCATGAACCAACGTCTCTTCATCCCTTGAATGAAACATTCTTTTTTTTTTTTTAAAGACAGAGTCTTGCTCTATCACCTAGGCAGCAGTGCAGTGGCACAATCTCGGCTCACTGCAGCTTCTACCTCCCGGGTTCAAGCGATTCTCCTGCCTCAACCTCCCAAGTAGACTGGATTGCAGGGGCTTGCCACCATGCCTGGCTAATTTTTGATTTTTGTATTTTTAGTAGAGACAGGGTTTCTCCATGTTGGATAGGCTAGTCTTGAACTCCTGACTTCAGATGATCCGCCTGCCTTGGACTCCCAAGGTGCTAGGATTACAGGTGTGAGCCACAGCACCTGGCCTGAAACGTTCAAGATCTCAAGATACTGTACATTTAAAGCACCCCAATGTCCTCTCTTTCCACTTCCCATTCTGTCTGCTTATCTAACATGAAGAACATTGTATTAATCTGATTTTTAAGGATTTTTTGTCTGTTATGTGTTAAGTGTTTGTTTGGTACCCCAGTGAAAACATTCTGCATTGCAGACCAATGTGTGCTTCTTTCGGGGGCCTGGGATCATTGCATTCTTAGCCATTGTCACAAAATACATGGAGTCATATTTAAAATGTAAAGTTGTAACATACATATGTTTAAAATGGGAATGCAAAGCAAAAAGATGGATGTGCAAGGTCATGTGTATTCAGTTCTCTGTACTTAGTAAGTGTAACTGACTTGTCTGTTAGTGAACTATGGGTGCAAGGACACATCTCTGGCTACTTTGCATCTGTAATCCACAAAGATTCTGGGCAGCTGTATTATCACAGCTTGTTGTTTGTTTGTTTGTTTGTTTTTTGCTAGCTGAAGGAAAATTTGTATTTTAATTATTTTTATGTACAGAAAACTCAACAGTGCACATTTAACCCAGGTTAGTGGCAAGTTCTTTAGCCTTTGCCTTTTTGAGCTTGGTGATATGAGCCACAGACTTGGGACCCAGGACATTGCCGCCCCAGTGACGGTGGATCTCATCGTATCTGTCATTGTAATTGGTCCTGATAGCTTCCACCAGCTTAGCCAAAGCGACTTTGTCTTCCGAGTTTACTTATGTGATGGTGACAGTGGTCCAGGTCTTCCTGTGGACTAGACGTCCCAGTCTTGCCTTCCTCTTGATAATGCAGTAAGAGACTCCCATTTTACAACACAGGGCAGACAAGAAGACAACCAGCTTGATGGGATCCGTGTTGTGTGCAATCACCACCAGCTGAGCCTTCTTGTTCTCCACCAAGGTGGTGACGGTGTTAACTCCTGCTGGAAGGACAGGTGGTCTCTTAGAGGAGACGTCCCCTTTGCCAGCAGCTTCCTCGGCCTGGGCCGAGAGCCTCTGCTTCTTCTCTTGCTTTGTCTCTGGTCTGTACTTGTGGGCCAGCTTAAGCAGCTGAGTAGCTGTCTGGTGGTCCAGGGCCTGGGTGAGCTGGTTAATTGCAGGAGGCACTTTCAGCGACTTATAGAGGATGGCTCTCTGCTGATAGAGCGGGGCCATTTCACAAAGCGGGTGAGGTCTCTTTTGGGCTGGATGTCCTGTCCAATGTCAAAATTCTTAGGCCTTTTCTCAAACAGGGGATTCACCACTTTCTTGGCCTCCTGTTTTTTCACAACAGCAGGGGCAAGAGCCACCTTCTTTCCCTTGACCTTCTTTCCTTTCGGCATCTTGGGCAGTGGGAGGAGAGCCATAGCTTGCTTTAAATAAACTATGTGGTAACAATGAACAATAAGAATAGAAGAAATAATAGCTTGCCTGAGGTCACAGAGCCAGCAGATCTTATAGGTGGTGCATCATTTATATAAGGAATGTGTATCTAGAAGATATTGTTTGGCGTTGGCTAAGGGTGGAATGAATCATGTATGTAATAGATTATACAATTTACAGTGATGAGTGGACAGATTTACTTATGGGGCAGGTTATAATGTAGTGGGATGAGAATCTAGAACGTGCCTCCTAGGCAGTCATACAGATTGTGCATTTGGTAAGTCAGGTATGTCGTGGTTTGTGTATCTAATAGCGCTTCATCTGCAGGCTGTCCACCTAGTAGCTCTTGGATACAACGGGTCATGGCTGTGGCATGGTGTGGTTGATCCTGGTTGATCGTAGACCTTATTTAATTGAATCTAAGATGTCATCTATAGAAAAACGCATTGTTATTTTTGTTACCAGTGAAATTCTGACATGCCATTGATCACATTTCCCTTTAAGCAATGTGGAAGTGTGCCTCAGAGTGGATGAGGCCGTGGATTGCTGGGTTGTGTGGGGAGTAGCTGTGCCTGTGGCCTGCCATAGGTGCCAGGCAGGTGGCAGAGGCCTGGGCTCGGCTCCTGGAGGCTCCTCCCGGAGCTGCCCTCCACTCTTACCCCTTAGTAAGAGTTTACTAAGGGGTAAACTCTTCTGTGTTTACCCCTTAGTCAGATCTTCCGTTTCTGTCCACCTCTGCACTGCCCCCAAGGCCGGTGGAGCCAGATCAGATATTCCTGGGGTAGGCATGGGAGGAACCCACTGGTATATGGTCTCTTTCAGCCCCTTATCAAATCTCAAAGTGTGGGTTGTGGGGAGCTGCCTCTTGCTCCCTGCCTCAGAGTCTTGTCCTGGCCAACAGAAAGCTGAGCCAGGATCATCTTTCCGTTTTACAGAGGGAGAAATTGAAGCCCTGAGAAGAGACGATGGAAATAAAGTTATCGGAATAGTGACTGAGCCAGTTCCTAAACCCAGGTCTCCTGACACCAAATCTAGCCTCTCTTGTCCTCCACAATAGTTGCTCCTTCTCCCCTTTCCCTGCAGGATATAGCACTTCCCAGTCATCTCAGCTTCAGAGGTCAGATCAAGTGGGGAGAATAAAGCTAAGCAGGGCAGAGAAAGGGCTTCTAGCAGTGGGAAGAACATGGAGATGCCTCCTCAGAGCACTCAAACACATGCCCTGACTCCCGATTTGCTCACTCATTAATTCACCCACACATTCACTCACTCTCTCACTCGTTAATTCACCCACTCTTTAATTCTCTCACCCATTTGCTTATTCACTCGCTCATTAATTCACCCACCCATTCACTTATTAATTTGCCCACCCATTTGCTCACTTACTCAGTAATTTACCCTCTCATTTGTTCATTCACTCACTCAATTCATGCATTCAGTCAACTCACTCATTAATTCACCCTGTCTCTAATTCAATCACTCCTAATTCACCCACTCATTAATTCCCCCACACACTCCCTCATTAATTGGTGCTCCCACTAATTCACCCACTCGTGCTCACAGGTGTCACCGAGTCCCTCCAACCTGCCCTTCCAGTCAGCAGCAGAGGACAGGCTCCCAGGCCTCCCAAGTCTCAGGCTTTCCTTCCTCTGCCCTCACTCTCTGCCTTCTACATCAAGACTTTACTTCCCCAGATTGATTGGCAGCCCTTGAAAATGTCTGCACAGAAGGCAATGAGGGCTGGAGGGAGTGAGAAGAACAGAGCGCACCATGAGCTTCAGACAGCCAGGACCAGCTGTGTAGTTTTCAGGGCCCCAGCCAAAACAAAAGTGCACAACCCCTTGTTCAAAAGTCATGATGGATTTTAAGTCATGATGAACCAGGCACCAGGACTTCCTAAGGGTTGGGCTGCCTGTGACTGCACTGGTGATACCCCCACCAAGCCCACTCTGAAGGTAGGAGACAGGTGGAGAGAAACGGGGATGGAAAGGGGGATACACAACAGGGAGAGGGAGGAGGAAGAGGATGGAGGTCTATGAGGCCCCATTTGGCGTGTGACTTATGCCATCTCATTTCCTTCTCAGACCACCCTTTGAGGTTGATTGTACATTTTACAGAGAAGGAAACTGAGGCTCAGAGAGAATCATTTACCCAAGGTCCCAGTTAGTAGATGGTAGGCGCCAGAATGTAAATCCAGGTATCTGCCTGCTCTGGGAGGGGGTGGGGGTGGGGGAAACAGGAGAATGTGACGGGAAAATCCGAGATGGAGTTGGCCTGGGCAGACACACTGGGAGCTGTGGGAGATGGTGAGGGGCAGGGTGGGATCACAGGGAGCAGGAGCAGGGAATTGGAGGTGAGTCTGGCCCTCCCAAACTTCCAGTCCATTCTGCTTCCAGGGGAACCGGGAAACTGCAGGGGAACTGGAAGGGAGCTCCCAGAACAAGGATTCAGAAGATTGGCATCTGGGGCCTGGGATTTAGGTTTCTAAATCATGGGCCATGGGGCAGCCTTATCTCCACAAGAGCATTGAGGGTAGAAGTCAATGATTTGGGAAGTTATTGAATTAGGGGATCTCGGAGGTAGGCTGTCAGTGCCTGATAGTATCAGTTAGAATGCCTGACTTGGGGTGACAATGGCTTGGAGGGGTGGGTGAGTCAAGGGTCAAATGAGTGCCCATGAGTCATGATGCCTGCCTTGTACAATTGATAACTGAACATCGGTGAGTTAGGGCCTCAACAGTTGTAATTAGCACCCCGGGTGTCAGCCAGAAATCAACAAACAGCCAAATCCCTGCAGCCCCGCCCTGCCTATCCACCAGCGGGGGACCGATTAACCATTAACCCCCACCCCTCCCCGGCAGAGCCTCCACCCCTTCACAGAGGCTAGGCCAAGACTCCCAGCAGATCTTCCCAGAGGACGGTTTGAAAGGAAGGCAGAGAGGGCACTGGGAGGAGGCAGTGGGAGGGCGGAGGGCGGGGGCCTTCCGGGTGGGCACCCAGGGCAGGGCAGGTGGCCGCGGCGTGGAGGCAGGGAGAATGCGACTCTCCAAAACCCTCGTCGACATGGACATGGCCGACTACAGTGCTGCACTGGACCCAGCCTACACCACCCTGGAATTTGAGAATGTGCAGGTGTTGACGATGGGCAACGGTAGGTGGGGGCAGGTGTGTCAGTGGGGGCAGGTGTGCCTGGGTCCAGGAACAGATCTTTGGCACTCAACTTTGGGGTGGGAGGAGAATGATAGAAAATGGTAGGTTGGTCCTACAGGCCAGCACAGGTGTTGCCAGGTGAAGCCCATGTGCCCAGGTGCAGTGATCACAGGCATTCTGGGTGAAGGGAGGCCTGCAAGGGCCAATTTCCAGCAAAAGTCGATCCCGGCTATTCCTCCCAGGCCCTTCCATTCCTCACTGCCTCACAGTGGCTCCGCTTGGTGCTTGGCGCAGTGACGTGATGGTGAGCTCCCCCTTGGTGCCCAGCTCCAGCAATTCAGCCCAGCACGGCCGCTTCGTGAACCCCTCGGGCCTAGGTTCAGAGAGACAGCAAGGGACATTGTATCCCTGGAGATGGTGGTTGGAGACATAACTGCATTTCTTGGTGTCTTTGGGACTTTCCTAGGGAAAACGGAGTTCTCAGGGAAGTCTTGCTAACTACGAAGCCAACTCAGCACTGTGTGTGTGGTGTGTGCGTTCGTGTGTGATGGTGAGTTTCCATGTAGGTTGTATGGGTGGGGTGATGCCTTCAGGAACACATTTGCATATGTGTGTTCATTTGTCTCTGTGTGTGAGTTCTGGGTCTATTTTCCTTTGTATTCATTGAGTGGGTCTGTGTTTGTGTCTGTAGGAGGTGCCCGTGTTGATCTTACTTATGCATGTAAGTGACTGTGTGTGTGTATGTGTGTCTGTGGATGTTGGTACATGTGTGCTGTGTGTGCGGGTCATAGAGCACATGTGTTTGTGCATGTAGACCTGTTGGAGCGCCCTGTTCTTCCTGCATCTTTATCCTGTGTGGGCGTTTTGTCGTGTGCCCATATTTGTACCTGCTGTGTACATATGCAGTCCCCCGTACTGCGGGCAGGTGTCAGCGGTCTCTGGTGTGCCCACATTTATACCTGCTGTGTACACACACAGTCCCCCGTACTGCGGGCGGGGGTCAGCGGTCTCTGGTGTGCCCACATTTATACCTGCTGTGTACACACACAGTCCCCCGTACTGCGGGCGGGGGTCAGCGGTCTGTGGTGTGCCCATATGTGTGCCTGTGTACATATGCAGTCCCCCATACTGCGGGCGGGGGTCAGCGGTCTGTGGTGTGCCCATATGTGTGCCTGTGTACATATGCAGTCCCCCGTACTGCGGGCGGGGGTCAGCGGTCTGTGGTGTGCCCATATATGTGCCTGTGTACATATGCAGTCCCCCGTACTGCGGGCGGGGGTCAGTGGTGTCTGGTGTGCCCATATGTGTGCCTGTGTACACACACAGTCCCCCATACTGCGGGCGGGGTCAGCGGTCTCTGGTGTGCCCGATTGCACAGACCCAAGTGCAGGACTCTGTTGCTGCCATTCACCAAGTGAGATTCACATCAGCAACATGTCCGTTTGTCTCTGAGCAGATTTTGTTGCGGGCGTGTCTCTGCAGATTTAGGCATCCCTCCGACATCTCCGGAGCAAATCTGGAGGGGCGGGCAGTTCTCCTCCCCAGGGAGGTAGGGGAAAAGAGGAGGCCTGGAAACCCCTCCTGGAGGGAAGGGCCCCATCGGTCCCAGCCTCAGAGGACAGGGGGCAGCAGCTGGCTGAGGTCAGCCTGCCACCCCACTTCCTTGTGTGTCTTGGAGCCACACAGCCAGTATCAGGCTGCAGCTCCAGCTGAGGCCTGGAAGCTTGTGGTCAGCTCAGCTAGAGCGAGGAGGCAGCCGCTGGGCACTGCCTGTTGTCAGCTCAGCAGGTGCTCACCTGCCCCTGCTATCCAATCACTGTGTGACCTTGGGCATGTCACCTCCCCTCTCCTGGCTTCTGTATCTTCTACAAAACAGGCTTCACTCCCCCAGGCCTGCTGGCTGGCGGGCTTTTAGGCCTGAGGGCCATGCAAGGAGCGCAAGGCAAAAACACACCAGAGATAGCAAAGAAGTTGAATCTGTACTAGGTGGAGTGTCGCGTGGCCCCACGAGGACTGCTGCCCTGCCCCGGGCTGCTCCCCGACCCCATCACCTTTTCAAAGCCCAGGAACTGTGTGCTCCTGAGGCAGAGGGCAAGCCCCTGAACTGGATGTCCCAAAGACAAGACCGCCTCCAGCTCTGGAACCAGAAAGATCTGGGCGCAAATCCAGCATAGATCCTTCCAACCTGTGTGAACGTGGCAAGGCAGTTTCCTCTCTGAGCCTCAGTTTCCTCATCTATAAAATGGGAATAAATAATAGTGTCTGCCTCCCAGCACTGGCCAGACGATAAATAGCCTGGGTGCTTAGCCCTGGTAAAGGGCCTGGCCCCAACATGGGTCGTGTCAAAGGCTCTGAGCATCTGTAAGCAGGGTTCCCACGTTCCTCACTGGAGTTTGAAGTGGTCTGAATTGGGGTTATGTGAAGTTGTCCTCTGAAGTGTTTTGAGTACATCCTGGGCTGGTGGCTCAAAGGCTCCAAGGATATTTCTTCCCCGTCCACTCCCCACCCCAATGCAGCGGCAGCCCCAGCAGACATCTCAACACGTGCGGCACTGGCCGGAGTAGCCCAGCAAGCCTGGACCATAAACCCGTGGCTCTGCTTCACAGCAAGCAGTGCGATGACATCAGGAAGCCACTTGTCCTCTCTAAGCCTCAGCGTCCTCACCTGCAGAATGGAGGTGCTCGGCTGACCTCAGAGGGGAGATGATAGAGCTGACAGCCCCCAGCTCATCCTGCCCCAGAGCTGGGAGCTACTTCCCCAGCCTCCTACTGAATGACCAGGAGCTGTGGGGTCAGTCTCCCCGGGGGTCGAGGGAGGAGAGGCCGAGGGAGAAAGGGCACCCATGTGGCTTAACAATTATCCCCATCTCCAGGAATAATTCACCAAGTCCTGGGGACACCTGGGAGTCTGTGATGGCAGAAATGAGATGCGGCAGTGTCTGCTTGTGACAGAGCCTGGAAGTCCTCTGCTCCGAGAGCTTTCCTATGCAGAAAAGTTTTTATTTCACGAACACTGATACAGTGCTTACTATGCGCCAAGCACTTCACATACACAAATGAGTATTCACCGGGTCCCCATGACAAACCTAGGGGAATATCACGTTCCCCATGTTACAAATGAGGAAACAAAAACAGAGAAGTAAACAAACACAACCAGCGTCACATGGCTAAAAAGTGGGCAAGCAGGGACTGAATCCTGGGCAGAAGGACTTCAGAGGCTGTGCTGTTACCTACAGCACGTGGCCCTCTCTGGGTCTAACTGGATGCCTCTGAGGAATCCAAGGTCGGATTCAGGATTTCTAGGAATACACGCGTGTGTGTGTGCATGTTTGTATGTGTCTGTATGTATGCTAGTGAATGTGTGTATGTGTGTGTGGACTATGTGTATGTGTATGTGTATGTGTGGACTGTATGTGTGTGTGCACACGTTTATGTAGGTGTGCGCTGTGTGTGTATGTATCCGTGTGTGTGCATGTGTATGGACTGTGCATGTGTGTGCATGCATGTGTTATGTGTGTGGACTGTGTGTGCATATGTGTGTGCACATCTGTGTGTGCATGTGTGGACTGTGTGTATGTGTGTGTGGACTATGTGTGCATATGTGTGAACTGTGTGTGTATGTTCATGTGTGTGGAGTGTATGTGTACACATGAGTGTATATATGTGTGTGTTGATGTGTGTGTGTGTGAATTGTGTGTGTGCGTATGTGTAGACTGTATGTGTGTATGTTCATGTGTGGACTGTATGTATGTGCATGTGTGTGTGTGCGTGTGTGTGACTGTGGTGTGTGTGTGTGCCTGTGTGGACTGTTGTGCATGTCTGTGCGTGTGTGGACTGTGTGGTGTGTGCATGTGTGTGTGGACTATGTGGTGCATGTGTATGTGTTTGTGTGTGGACTGTGTGGTGTGTGTCAACTGTTTGATGTGTGTGTGCATGTGTGTGTGACTGTGTGGTGTGTGTCTGTGTGCATGTGTGTGGGCTGTGTGGTGCGTGTGTGTGCTTATGTTTGGTGTGTGTGGACTGTGTGGTCTGTGTGTGTGTGCATGTGTGTGTGGACTATGTGGTGTGTGTGGACTGTGGC